GATACTGCATGGTTTAAAATTAGGAAGGGAATGTGTCAGAGTTGTATCCTTTCACCATACTTACTCAATCTGTATGCTGAGCAAATAATCTGAGAAGGTGGACTATATGAAGAACATGGCATCAGGATTGGAGGAAGACTCATTAACAACCTGCAATATGCAGACAACACAACTTTGCTGGCTGCAAGTGAGAATGACTTGGAGCACTTATTGATGAAGATTGAAGACTACAGTCTGCAGTATGGATTACATCTCAATATAAAGAAAACAAAAATCCTCACAACTGCACCAATAAGCAGCATCACGATAGATGGAGAAAAGATTGAAGATGTCAAAGACTTCATATTAGTTCATTCTACAATCAATGCCAATGGAAGCAGCAGTCAAGACATCAAAAGACATACTGCATTGGACAAATCTGTTGCAAAAGGCCTCTTTCAAGTGCTTAAGAGCAAAGATATCTCCTGTCTAACCCAAACCATGATATTTTCAATTGCCTCATATGCATGTGAGAGCTGAACAATGAATAAGGAAAACCGAAGAAAAGTTGATACTTTTGAGTTGTGGTGTTGGCAAAGAATGCTGAAAGTACTGTGGACCGCTAAAAGAACCAACAAATCTGTTCTAGAAGAAGCACAGCTGGAATGCTCCTTGGAAGCAAGAATGGCCAGACTTTGTCTGACCTACTTTGGTCATGTTGTCAGAAAGGACCATTCTTTGCAGAAGGATGTCATGCTTGTAAAATGGAGGGTCAACGAAAGAGGGGAAGGCCCTCAATGAGATGGACTGACACAGTAGCTACAGCCATGGGCTCAGGTATAACAGGGATCGTGAGGCTGGCACAAGACTGGGCAGTGTTTCACTCTGTTGTACACAGGGTTGCTTTGAGTCAGAGATGACTCAATGGCACATAACAGTAACAACAACTCTTCCTTTGAACATTTATTTAAAAGTATGATGTACAAATATTACACCACCATTATAAAACATAAACAAATATTAGTGGTATGGGAAAAAGTTTACAATTTTGTAAAAGGATATACAATATTATACTACAAAAAAATGACGTGCACAGATTACCAGTACTGGCAAGGTAATAAGTCATGGTATTTTTACTTCTTTTTTATTCTTATTTTTCAAATTTTCTACAATGAAGTTATTATTACCTTCAAATAATAAATGGGACAATAAATTTGCTACAATGAAGCTATTTTTACTTTTACAAATAGAATAAAAATGGTATATTTTTCTTAAAAACACTGGGAATTAAGGCTGAAGAGGTTGCATTAGTTAGGGATTAAAGTTACAATGTTAGGTTTAAGATTAGCATTAGATATTAATTAAGTTTATTAGAAGCTAGTTAGTACTAGCCTTTAGCATTATAGCTATGATAAAGCTATCTCTATGTTAAGATTTAGGAAAATAAAATTAGCTAAATAGGAATGATAAACTATTCAGGAAAGAAGAATCTGTGGATGTTGGCTTTTCTAACCATGGTCTTTGTGACTCTCATGAGATGACTGGGTGGAATGATGCAAATGTGACATGCTTATGGCCCACCAAGGGGATTGGATAGCTTGCTAATAATGTAAATAATGTACATGGCACCCATGTGGGGGTGAGGCCATGCAAATAAGGTATATGGAACCCTAATGTGGGGACTGGTTAGTTTTTCCATCTCCCTAGGAGCTCCTGTTAGCATAGTGCCTAAGGCACTTGACTGCTAACCAGAAGGCTGGCGGTTCAAACCCACCAGCCACTCCTCGGAAGGAAGGTTGGGCGATCTACTTCCATAGTGATACCATCTCAGAAACCCAAGGAGGGGTCGCTATGAGTCAGGTCTGACTTGATGGCACATCACAACAACAGTGGGCTTAAAATGAGTCCCCCTACAGGCAGAAGAGGGGATTTCACTGCCATCAGGACAGAAGAGCTGGAGGTGGACTGGAGTTGTCCTTGGACCCAAGATCCCTGCACTGGACCTCCTTGGCAGAGAGAGAGCAGAGACAACCATGGCAGTGGAACCAAGAGACATGAGATACAGCAGCAGGCTGCCAGCCCACAGTATGAGAAAGCTGAGTGCTTTTGGGCAGAAGCTTGCTGGCAGAGTGGGGTGCACCCAGGTGCACCTCTTGGCAGAACTAAAAGATCTATGTAACTCTTGCCCCATCGGGACAGAGGCCAGGCCAAGAGGCCAAGGCTCAAAGAGGCTTGATGAGGACATAGCAGAGGGGAGACTGTCCTGATTAAAGAACCATATCCTGAGCACATTCCTGAACCTGAACTGTAGCCTGCTACTTCCCTAATAAAGCCCATAACCATAAGTATTATTGCCTATGAGCTCTGTGTGGCCATTGCAACAAATCATCAAATCCAACAGAGAAGTACTTAGTGCTATGGAAGGAACGACTTGTGTCAGAGCTGGTAAAAAGACTGGAGAGTGGTGGCATGTCTGGCCTCATAGGAATAAGCCTTGGGCTGCTGTTGATGACTGTCTCCCCCTCATGAGATTGGTAGAAGTAAGAGCATGCTGTCCCTGTTCCCTTTCTCCCAAAACTAAAAATGTCTCCAGACATTGCTAGATATTCCCTGGAAGTCAAAATTGACCCTCTCCCATTGAAAACCACTTGTACAGACCCAAAAGGAAAGCATACATATGTGTATCAAAGACATGTTCAATATATAGCAGCATTTCTCATAACAGTTAAAAGTAGAAAACTTACCCAAATGTCTATCATTAGCAGAATGAATAAATAAATTGTGGTATATTCACACCATGCGATACCATACAGCAACGAGAATGTACTACAACTACACATAGCATTGTGGATGAGCATCACAAGCATAATGCTGAGAGAAAGGAGATACTGTACTGATTCCATCACATAAAAAGATGAACCGAAAAAATTAAGCTTTGGTATTAGAAGTCAAAGTGATTATCCTTGGAAAATAAGCTAGAGACTGGGAAGACAAAATAAAGGGGACTTCTGGGGTGCTGGGAATGCTCTGCTTCTTGATCTGGACCTTGATACACAAATGTGAGATGTGTAAAATTAACTAAGCTAGATACTATTTGTATACCTTTCTATCTACTACAATATACTTTCAATGAAAAGTAAAAAAAAAAAAAAGGAAGTTTCAAGTTCTAAAATGCTTAGATAATACTTTCATAACACAATTTTCCTTCAAAGTAGCTTAACACTCTGCTAGTAGCTTAATACACTACCCTGCTAGTACCTTAATACACTACTCTGCTAGTAGCTTAATACACATGCTCACTCCTTCAGGTTTTCTGTATTATATTCTTTCACAGGTAAGAGAATAATTTTCTTATGATTGTTTATGCTATAACATATACTGTTTTCTCAGATAACAATGTACATGATTATATTTCAAAAGTTAAGGGAAAAAAATAACTTACATCTTCCATGTATTCTGGTTCTGATGCCGAAGCATCCCAACGATTATTCAGAATGAAGATATTAGGTTTAGAAAGCCGTTCATTTACTTTGTGAAAAAACTGCTTTTCCTACAAGACAAAAAATCCCATATGTTCACTTTTAAAAGCTATTTCATATTTACATTTATAACTGAAACCTTATTTTAACCTAAAAGTTTGAGCCATCTAGACAACAGTGATTAGCACCTATTGATAAAGGGTCCCAAAGCACTACATGAGGATTATATTTTTCAAAGACAACAGCCTATATTCTCAAAAAGTTACTGCAAATCCCTTCCAGAGTTAGGTTAAGCGAAGTAATATCAATGTAATAAGATACATGTACAACTCATTATAGAGAAACGTATGTGCCATAAATAATAAAAATAAAATGTAACAATTACTCAAAAGAATACATCACATCTAGTCAAAATGAGGAAAAGTTCCAGAGAAGGAAGTGGTAATAGAGATGGGTTTCAAAGTTTTGATGACAAGGATTTTTGAATGACCTAAGTGGGGAGGTGAACAAATTGTAGGCAAAGAATACCGTAAGTGAAGCACCAAAATCATAATGTACAGCAGAAGTTTGTTTATCCAGCACCCAAATAACAAAGTTATTCTAACACAGGTTTTAAAGATTTATCCATTTTTTCCTACCACCAGGTTATAAGGGATTGTCAGCGTTGTCATAGCAGCCTGGTCCATGTGACAGAGACTGGGCTATACGTACACCACAAAAATAGGTCTTGCTGGTAAGCCAGGTATAATGGTGCTCAGTCATTTATGTTTTAATGAGTAACAACTTTTTTAAAATGCTAAAAATTTTGGATATTAGACCTAGACTCTGTAATATAGTTTATCCAGGATAAGTCTAGCTCATGACATTCTTGATAAACAATCTTCTAAGCTTTGACAGGGGCTTAGAGAATACACAGGTAAAGCTGAAATCTAGAGTATAGCTAGAAAAGGTTGAAAAATGGTAAAGCTAGAAAAGGTGGACAAAGTAAAAATATAAAAGGCCTTCCCTCCCGGTATAGGGTAGGTTTTACTTTGAGACTTATGCAAACATCCAAACAATTCTGCTGTCCATTCCCTCAAGGATAGCATTCAGAGTCAATGTTAGTATCACAAAGTTATAAAGATTAACCAGAAGCCAGAGCCATCAAGTACCCATCAGACAGCTACTGAACACACTTTAGATTAGACACACTTTAGACCAGATTTAGCCCTTGCAGTTCCATGGAAACACAAATTCCTCATAAAAGAGGTTCTCCATAATATAGGATTTGGATTTCCCTCACTTTTCAAAAGTAAAACTGGTATCCATTCATGCAATTTCCTAGCCAAACACAGTAAATATGATTAAATCCTACCGTGTTCATTAATGTTGATTCAGAGTTTGCAACCAAAACGAAGACATCAGCATCTAAACAAAACTTATCAATCCAGCTATCCAGCTCTGTAGTGACATCTGTGCCTGGACTAAGGGAGTGAAATAAAAATTGTATTATATAATATTTTTAAAAAAGAGTATCTCGGTTAGAGTTACAGAAAACCTGGGGTTTTGTTTTAAGCATTTGTACAGTAAAGGACATGATTTCTACCAGTCATGTACATGAAGCCTAAACAAACAAAAAAAAAAAACCCAAGATCACTGCCATCGAGTCAATTCTGACTCACAGCAACCCCCCACTGGGTTTCCGCCCCATCTTTCTTCCGTGATATGAAGCCTAATAGATTTAAATTACTCTGTCACTTATAAGGATGTAGTTGCATAGGTTGAGTCCATGCTTTATATATCATTACATATTTATTCTGCTAGGAAGGAATTATAGACAAAGCCTACCCAATTGACAATTTAACAGATGTTTAAAGTATATTCATGAAAGACAAATAACCTAGTGATTTTTGATAAGTCAAATAACATGGCCAATATATTAATCTTTTAAATCTTTATGCTTTGGATGGCTCAGAGATTAAGTGCCAATAAGCACATATGAAAAAACAAAATCCTCCACTAGACATAAATTCAATGTATCATCTTTTATCTACAAAAATTGAACTGAAAGATTTGCAAGTGTCTTATCTATACTTTAGCTTTATGTATCCTATGACAAATTAGAAAAATGACTAGTTGGGGCCATGGCTGCACTCTAGCCATAAAATGAAGTTAATTAACATTAGTGTGCTTAAACCAAAAACTTTTGAGTTTACAAGGATCTCCTCTCTTATCTGAAGCATTTCTATTGACTACGTGAAACACTACTGCAATGAAAAGGAAAGTCCATCATCCAAAACAAAATGGTTTACAAAGAACACAGAAATATAAACTGAAGAAAAAAAAAAGACCACACCAACATTTTAAAAATCTCTTAAAATCTTTTTGATTACTGATACTCCTTAACAGATAGGCATAATCATTTTATTAAGTATCAGTGTAGTAAGATGATTTAAAAATCACATCATAAATATAAGCTAAGTACTAGAGGCTCAGGGAAGTTGAAAGAAAATTTCAAAGCAACCTATGTCCTCAATTCTTGAATAATAAAAAGCTACATAAACTATCCAGCAAAGTT